CGACAGAGCTGCAAGAGGTTCTAAAGACGGGTACCTCGAGCGGACGACGAAAAGCGACGAGGGGGAGCGTCCGCTCCCCCGAGTACGAGCGGAGGGACACCATCTTTGGCGATTTTTCATTTTTTTTTGGCAGAGCTAAATGCCCTGAAAATGTACAGATGTGTACTTCACATAATACAAACCCAGTCAAAAAGATTCTGAAAATAATAAAATTGTTTAGACCCCGAACTAAAGTGAAAACAAAAAGTAAAAAATGGAAAAATACGTGGGCGAGCATGTTTTGACACCACCAGCTTTGGCGATTTTTATTTCTTATTTGGCTTAGCCAAATGACTTGAAAATTTACAGGCATGTACCTGACGTCATAGAGAATGCACAAAAAAACATTCAGAAAAAAATATATATTTTTAGGCCCGGAAATAATTTTTGGCGGGGGCCGAACGCCGTCGAGTTCGGACCCCGTACGGGACCCCGAACGCCCGTACGTACGGAGGTCTGCCCGGGGACTTCCCAGTATATATATATATATATGTTTGTGACGATATATATATATATATATAGTCAAACAGAGCTGCCCGGTAAACCGTAGGCAGAGAGGGAGAAGAGGACAACGAAAGAGGCGTAGGCAGAGAGGGAGAAGAGGACAACAAAAGAGGGGTTGTGGCAAACTGTTTCATCGGAGTTTCACCGACTCATCAGGAGGCTGAACCCTTAACAGTCTGCAGAATCCCCTAACTGATTACACTGTAAGTGATAATCCACCCTAACCCCGGTTGTGGTTAAGCATCAACGATTGCCCGACAACTGATACCCGTATATATATCACAAACAGAACTGCCCGGTAAACCGTAGGCAGAGAGAGAAAAGGACAACAAACGAGGGGCTATATATCATCCAATAGAACTGCCCGGTAAACCGTAGGCAGAGAGGGAGAAGAGGACAACATATATATAATATAACTGCCCGGTAAACCGTAGGCAGAGAGGGAGAAGAGGACAACATATATATAATATATATATGTTCAGCCTCAACAGAAACCGGCCGCCGCCGCGCGGGACCGTTGTCGAGCAGTGGGCAAGGGGGAACCAACGGCACGCCAGTGATGGGAAGTGGCTGCGGCGAGAAGGCAAAAATTAGCCGCCGCCGCGCGGGACCGCTGTCGGGCAATGGGCAAGGGGGAACCGGGGGAACCCACAGCGCGCAGGTGCTGGGAAATGGCCGCGGCGAAAAGGGGCGACCCCGTATGCGCTGCGGCAACCAGGTAGTGTTTGTTTCCATGTTCTAGCCGAAGATTCATTGGATGTTGCTCATCCTATCTATGGGAGTGGCATGGCGCGAGGCGCGAGGTCTGAGAGTTATCGTCTCTCTCTCTCTCTCTCTCTCTCACACACACACACACAGAGGCAAGGGGGAACAAGGGGAACCCACAGCGCGCAGGTGCTGGGAAATGGCCGCGGCGAAAAGGGGCGACCCCGTATGCGCTGCGGCAACCAGGTAGTGTATGTTTCCATGTTCTTGCCGAAGATTCATTGGATGTTGCTCATCCTATCTATGGAAGTGGCATGGCGCGAGGCGCGAGGTCTGAGAGTTATCGTCTCTCTCTCTCTCTCTCTCTCTCTCTCTCTCTCTCTCTCTCTCTCTCTCTCTCTCTCT